CAAATAATATAAATTGTGCATATAATTGAAATGTATTTTTCTTACATGTTTCTATGAAGGTGCTCTGTCCTGGCTCATTTGAATTTTTTAAATACTTCGTATCAGTTTCAGTTTGAGTTAATTGAGTAATTATAGTGTAATGGTTCGACAGAGGCGCACACACTCGTGTGGAGGCAACAATATTTATTTAACACAACTGCAACACAACTGTAACACACCCTATACATAAGGTGGTGACCGTCTTAATCTTGCTAACACTCGGGTACTACTTGGCGTGGCCAAGCCAGGAGGCTTCTGCTTGTGCATGATGACTGGAGGCTTCTCTCCTCAGATTCTTCATGAGGCGTCTTCATCCAAGTCACGAACAGCCCAGCTCTCTGTGCTGAGGCCGCTTATAAGCCCCTTGGCGTGGCTGCCTACAACCTGGCCACGCCCCTCTTCTCGAACCCTCGAGAAGGCTCCACTCCCCAACCACGTGATCCGGTCACGTGTCCAGTCGGGATCACTTAGAGTGCCACAGCATGACACGACCCCGTGGCACACGTCAACAGCCTCCATACTGACCCGGCAGTGAGGGTCACGCATACATACCCAACACAGCAGTGACATGTGTGTACAGACCCGGCACAGTAGTGACATATGTCACTACAATAGTAATCAAATAATCAAAGAATAGCTAATCAAATAATTCATTAATGTAACGCTATCTATTTAAAATATTACTTTCAAATCAAATAATAATGAAAATATACATTTATCAAGTTTAATAATGAAAGTTTATATTACACAAATAAAATCTCAAATAATATTTTTTGAAGCAATTTGAATGCTACGATGGTTACAAATAAAATGTACCAGTGTCTTTTTGATGCGTACGTGCTGGCATATCCAACAAAGAGCAGAAAGTACTCTTTGGTTCTTTCAGTAAAGTCACATAGATATAAAATAAAATAAATTAAATCACGTTTCGGGCGCAACACAAGCGTCCGTCATCAGGTGGGACAACCACAGCAAGAAACAATTGCTGAAGTGGGCAAAAGGGCTGCTGTAATAAGAGGCCATATAGGTAAGAGAGGGGGGAGGAGCCAGGGAGGCGAGATAGAGAGGGGGGTGTGGGGTAGGGGGATTGGAGCGCTGCCAAGTGAAGCGCTGCTAGAAGGGTTTAAAGGGCAAGTACGGCAAAATGCCAGGGGCGGGGGGGGGGGAGTGAGCGGGGCTGGGAGTGGGAGGCTGACGAAGACTGGAGATGCGGATATTAAGACAACACCATAAAGCAGTTAAGGTTTAACCTGGTTAATAACATCCTTCCAATGATTTCTCAATTTGTATCCATCTTCTCGGTTGAAGTTATGTATATGTTTATATATCTGGATGGCTTCATGAACAAACCTTTGATAGTTGCCCGAAGGTTTGCAGAGTACCTTGGTCTCGGAAAAAACAATATCATGAGAGCCCACAGCGTTATAGCAATGGTCAGCCACGGCAGAGGTATTAGTTCTGCCGTGTTTCAGATCTGACTTGTGCTCGCGAACACGGTCCGAGATATGTCGTTTCGTTTCCACAATGTAACACCCACCACAGGTGCAACTTAGTTTGTAGACTCCGGGTTATTGCATGTCAGGAATTGCATCCTTCACAGATGGGATTAGATCACGAATTTTGTGTACGGTACTGAATAGGACCTGGATCTTGTGTTTGTTTAAGATTTTGGAAATCTTTTTGGCAACGCCTGCTATGTATGGTAACGTGATGGTTTTCATCGGCGTCTCAGGGGGTTGTTTCTCCATGGTTGGAGAAACAGCTTTGCGGATAATGCGGTCCGAATACCCATTCATCTTGAGGGCCTGGTGTACGTATTCCAGTTCACTGGCTAGGTGGTGTTGGTCAGAAATGCAGTGGGCCCTATGGTGTAGTGTCTTGATGAGGGAATTGTGCCGGATGGTGGTGGGAATCAGGTTTCAGATAGGAATCTGTGTGGGTGGCTTTCCTGTAGACAGAGAGTCCCAACGAGCCATCAGGTATCTTCTCAAATAAAACATCCAGAAATGGTAGCTTACCATCCTTCTCCACTTCCATGGTGAATTTGATGGATGGGTGTATGGAGGAATTCATGTGGTTGAGAAATTGGTTCAATGCTGGCAGGCCATGTGGCCAAATGACGAACGTGTCATCTATATATCTTTTCCACAAGGAAGGACATAGGGTGGATGTCTAGATGGCACGTTTCAAATTTCTCCTTGAAAACATTTACTATCACTGGTGATAAGGGGGAACCCATAGGGGTACTTTCACTTTTTCTCTTTCAAATCTAAAAGAGCAGAAAGGTTTGCCAAGAAGAACTGGTTCAAAAGTGGAATGGCATGAAAAATGATCCAGATTTGCAAGTTAAAGTTGATCATTGGTTGCAAGAATTAAAGGCGATTCCCACCACCAGAAAAGGATCACTTTGTTCGTTTTGGGCTAAACAAACATCTGCCAATAAAAAAAAGTGCCCGTCGAAATACCTCAGAATTCTGTATCACAGTCTGATGGACAAGTGACCGACGCTCAGGCTGATGATTCAGCGCCTAGTACTAGCAATTCAGCAACATCAAGAATTGCTACAGCCCAGCTGCATTTGCAGTCACAGATTAACATTCTGAATTCTGATCTCGTCGACTTGTACGAACACCAAAAACGAGGAATGCTTACACAGCAACTGGATGGGGAACTGCCGGAGAAGAAAAAAAAACTGAATTGGAAAACCAGTTGAAGAAGAACAAGTAAACCCGTAAAAACATAGTTTTTCACTATAAATCCTTTATATGCGTGGCGGCAAGAGTCCTCTCGTCCTCTGGCTTGAGATGGCTGCCACCTATGGGTCAGATGATTGTCTGCCACCATTTAGCAATTGGTAATTAAATATTTAATTTGTTTTCCCTAAACAGTGTAAAAAATTTTATTTATTTTTTTCACGAAAATTAATTGTCTGGCACAACGAGTCTGTGTGGAAAATATCAGCTCGATTGGATCACGGGAAGTGGGTTAAAAAACGACCGAAAGATTTGCACGGTCCTAAGCAAGCAAGCACGCAAGCAAGCAAGCACGCAAGCAAGCAAGCACGCAAGCAAGCAAGCACGCGAACTTAATATAAAGGATTTAAAAAGGGTGATCAAAAAAGAGCACAGAAAGCAAGAGATGAGAAGAAAGGAAAATAATTAAATGCTCTGTTTGAAGATAATTCAGATCTATGCACATGGCTGAATGTCAGGGCCAAGCCTGGTAGGCCGAAAATTGAGGAAGATCAGCCTTCATTACTTAAAGCTATTGTGGATATTGCTATGCATGGATCGGCATCGTGGAAAATTTTGCCGTGGGTAGCCGTTTGTAAAGTTGAATGTGGCACTAGATATGGCCGGGACAGCAGTAGTATACACAGCAGGAGAATTGCCATCTTTAAAATATCAGGGTTACACACAGTTTAACATACAAGCGAAAAGAAAAATATATATATATATACTTGTAGGCCGAGCGCGAGAAAATGTCTTGCTGCACTCGCCACACGACTTCTCGTCCGTGTGCTACAGTTTTTGGAAGAGTGTGAGAGCGCGAGCTAGGCCGCAACCTCGGTGTGGGTGGCATCTCTCTCTCTCTATGCATCGCACCTTCGCCGGCAGGGATATCTAGGCAAGCAGGGGGGAAAGTGTGAGGGCGGGAACACAGCTTGGGATCCGCGGCAATGTTGTCTTGGCAGGAACACAGCTTGGGGTCCGTGGCAATGTTGCCTTGGCAGGCACACAGCTTGGGGTCTGCGGCAATGCTGCCTTGGCAGGAACACCGCTTGGGGTCCGTGGCAATGTTGCCTTGGCAGGAACACAGCTTGGGGTCCGTGGCAATGTTGCCTTGGCAGGAACACAGCGAACCAGGCGCTGTGTAGTAGACATCACCACTGGGGAGACAAAGGCGGCCAGGCGTGGTGCCGGCCACCCACCCCCTCGTGCGCTGTGCCGGCCTTTATAGGTGCTCGCTAACAGAACTTGCAACCTACAGTCTATTAAGGTGATACGGTGCATATTTGTCTCTGTCTTTCTCCTAAAGTCAACTGGGATGTCCCGCAGAATCTCATTAGCCCCCCCTTAGGTTTGCCAGTTTTTTTTTATAACATTTAATGACTTCCCAAGCAGGCTTGTGAGTAATTATCCCCCAGCTGTCTTTTGTGTGGTAAGGTAGGAGGCAGGGGGGGACTCACCCTTTCCGTGCCCCAGCACTACATCCCGATCAAAATTATAAAAAAAAGGGCAGAATCACTCTTAATATAATTTTTTGGAAAAGGCATATATAAAACATGCTCTTCAAGTGTTTGTGATGAGATTTGATACGAAACTCCGAGTTGCTGAGGCAATTAAGCAAGCACCATATAAATGCTAATATTATAACATAGTGAATGCTTGGGAGCTAATTGGCTCTCGATCCTGGTTAGAGATCTACCCAACCCACAGGTCCGCAAACACTGGCCGCTCTTGCTCTGCAGGATGAACCTAGAAATTGAGTGTTCAACTTCACATTATTTTCATTAAAGGCCCGTAACAAAGGTGAATCGATTGGAGCTTCATTGTCTTAAGCTTGCACATCTACCAGGTCTCCATTTGACTTTGTATTGTCTAGCAAGTCCACCCACACCTCCACTTCCACAAACTGCTGGGAGTTGCCTCGCTCTGCCTCACAGTCAGAATTCTCCTCCTGCTTCATGTTGCCTCCATAAATGTGAAGGTCCGATTTTGGAGTTGAATCTTCATCTTCACATTTTACCATCACTTCACATTTCACCATCACTTCTCCACATTTTACCTTCACTTCTTCGCTCTTCACTGTTGCCTCTTCACATTTCACCTTGATACCTTTTAAAGTGTCCAAGTTGGGATTTTCTTCTGGTTCTTGTTTCAGGAGGGATGGGCTCATTGCAGCACTTTGACTTTCACAAGTCGATTTCAGATCACACTCCTTAGGGATCGTCTGATGCCTGTGTGTTCTCTGGTGTCTTTGAAGATGTGCTAACTGTGAAAACGCTTTCCCGCACAGAGTGCACTTGAAGGGTTTCTCTCCTGTGTGTGTTCTCTGGTGGCTCTGAAGAACAGATGGCCATGTAAACGCCTTGTCGCACAGAGTGCATTTGTAGGGTTTCTCTCCTGTGTGTGTTCTCTGGTGGCTCTGAAGAATGGATGACTGTGCAAATGCCTTCTCACACACAGTGCACTTGAAGGGTTTCTCTCCTGTGTGCGTTCTATGGTGTTTTTTAAGATATGATGACTCTGTAAATGCCTTCTCACACACAGTGCACTTGAAAGGTTTCTCTCCTGTGTGTGTTCTCTGGTGGTTTTTAAGATTTGATGACAGTGCAAATGCCTTCTCACACACACTGCATTTGAAGGGTTTCTCTCCCGTGTGTGTTCTCTGGTGGCTCCTAAGATCTCTTGACTGTGCAAATGCCTTCCTGCACAGAGGGCACCTGAAGGGTTTCTCTCCCGTGTGTGTTTTCTGGTGGCCCTGAAGATATGATGACTTTGCAAACGCATTCCCGCACACACTGCACTTGAAGGGTTTCTCTCCTGTGTGCGTTCTCTGGTGTATTTTAAGCTGTGATGAATGTGCAAACGCTTTCGGGCAGGAAGTGCACCTGAACGGTTTATCTCCCATGTGTGTTCTCTGGTGTATTGTAAGATGTGATGACTGTGAAAATGCCTCCTCACACACAGTGCACTTGAAAGGTTTCTCTTCTGTGTGTGTTCTCTGGTGCTGTGTCAAATTTCCAGTACGATCCGTGCTGTTTGCATACTGGTTGCATTGTTTCCTTCTTGTACCGAGCTGCGCTGAGTGCCTTTGCTCCATCAGATCAATTCTGCAGAGGAAGCGTCAGAGGAAGCATCAGCTGCAGATAGAAAAACATATCCACACCATCTACGTCAGTATCGAGGCACAGAGGAATGAATATATACACAGTCACACATGACTCACACGTCTATACTTATTAATCTTTTCATGATGTAGTGAAAAAGATTCCCCAATTCATCACACGGGCTGTTAAGGCACACAATGAGAGGGCAAATAGTCATACATATGCCTGGATGCCCGAGTATCTTCAAAATGAATGTTAACCGAAAACTCCAAGCACACAATTTCGGCTGTCTAGCTACAAAACTAATATTTATTTAAGAAAAATTCTGATAACATAGGAAAGGGTGTTGAAAATAATACTATTTGTAATATGCAGAAATGCATAAATTAATGTTCAATCGAAACTTCGAGGTGTGAAGCCAGGCTCAGATTTGCTTGAATGCTCAGATGAACAGATCTGAATTCAGCTGCATATGTGCTGAGATATTTTCCTGACTGCTTCCATTCACGTAAAAAGTTCCAGAGGAAAAATAAATTAAACTATTGTTTTCATTTAACCTTCATGTTCAATAGTTAATATACATTATTGAAAATACAAACTTGACACTGTTACACATTGGCATGGTAATAAATAAACCCGTAAAAACAAAGTTTTTCACTATAAATCCTTTATATGCGTGGCGGCAAGAGTCCTCTCGTCCTCTGGCTTGAGATGGCTGCCACCTATGGGTCAGATGATTGTCTGCCACCATTAAGAATTGGTAATTAAATATTTAATTTGTTTTCCCTAAACAGTGTAAAATTTTGGAATTTTTTTTCACGAAAATTAATTGTCACACAACGAGTCTGTGTGGAAAATGTCAGCTCGATTGGATCACGGGAAGTGGGTTAAAAAACGAGCGAAAGATTTGCACGGTCCTAAGCAAGCAAGCGAACTTAATATAAAGGATTTAAAAATATATTCGCCTGTGGAGGACGCGGGGATCGATCCCGCGACCTTTGGCATGGGAAGCGAGGGCGCTACCAACTGCGCTACTCCGCCACGGCCTGTGGTGGGGTTATGCTCTGGGCTCTTACACTGTGACGTTCAGCCAAATCCATGAATGAGTTCTATTTCAATATATGTAAAATAAATTTTTTTTGCCTAAAAAGTGTAAAATTTTGGGAATTTTTTTTCACGAACATTAATTGTCTGGCACAACGAGTCTGTGTGGAAAATGTCAGCTCGATTGGATCACGGGAAGTGGGTTAAAAAACGACCGAAAAATTTGCATGGTCGTAAGCAAGCAAGCAAGCACGCAAGCAAGCAAGCACGCACGCACGCACGCAAGCAAGCAAGCGAACTTAACATAAAGGATTTAAAAAGGTGGTGGTGTGTCCAAAACCATGCCTTGCCGCTTTCATCTGCTCAGTATTAATGCTTCCTCACTTCACCGTGTAATTAATTCAAGATCAATCAACATAGCAGAGGCCCACAATAAGTTCAGCTTTCACTTAAACTATGTAACACGATTTTTGTCCCTGGGTAGCAAGTGTTATTTTTTAATTGGTCATGCCTAAAAAGTATAGAAAATGGCCATTATTCCCCACAAACTTTGCTTTTGTGACCAGGACTTTACATGAAGGTATGACACAAATGCACAAGTTCTCTCATTGAAATAGATAATATTTAAAAAACACTTTTTTTTCAACACGCTTTAATTAAATGTACCGTACTAGTAATGGAAGAACTCCAGGAAGTGGCCCCGAAGTTTGCCATAACATAAGGGACCATGGTCATTTACAGCCAACATCAGTTTACAGTGGACAATTAGAGCCAAGCAGAAACATAACATATAAAAAATGTTTTAAAAGATCTCTTTAAATTTTTTTATGATAGAAAATAGTATTGTCATCAGTATGACATAAGTATACCAAGTTTGCAGTCGATACCATTTTGAGAAGTGGGTAAAAATTGAGATTTGAGGATACAACAACGACAACAAACAACAGACAGAGTGAGTTCATAAAAAGCGTGCAAGTAAAAAAGCTGAATTGCAAAATATCACTGTCCTGGTCAAACGCAAAGTTTGTGGGTAATAATAGCCATTTTCTGTACTTTTGAGGCATAAGAAATTAGAAAATAACACTGACTACCCAGGGACAAAACATATTTTTATTACACAGTGTTATCAATCATGTTTGCTGTCGGCGATAATCAAACTAATTGTTACGTTCATAATGCAGTGAAATAACTGCGCTACAGCTCCCCACAAAGATAAACTCTTAAATACACATACATTTCATATGTATCATTAACATATTATATAAACAAAACATCCACCATTCATGACGAATTGGAAGTTACCTTAGCACAGTGGTAATGCCATGATAGGTGCAATTTATGGCCATGTAAGTGTGGATTCTTTTGTCAGCAGATAATGGGAATGATCCAGATGTCAAGGGATGACTGACATGAAAAAGCTGTGCTCCTCTTTGTTTTGCTGGGTTTTAGGAACCCAGCGTTCCACCCATTCTGTGAGTGTCACTCATCCGACCTCATCGTTGTTGCAGAGCAAATATATCATAACTGCCCTGCAGCATACCTCACGGGCCTCCTCCACAGAGTACAATATTGACACTACTGATACCAGTCATTGGCGGTTCCGATCACCTCCACATCCTCCAATCTCTTCTCTAGCCAATGCCATGCCTGTTTAGCCCCTAATATCTGGACTAAGAGAAGCTGCTTGAGCATGCGGTAACTGGGAATGCGGGATTCATGACCGAACCAATGCAGCCTCGCCTGTCAAATAGACTCATGATTATATTCTATAATTATAGATTAAGGATCTGTAAGCTTAATACAAAATAGTCTGGTTGAATTAAGGATTAATCATAGGCAGACCAGCCTTCATTGTACCAGCACTACCGGCCTCCTTTTACACAACAGACGCTATACAACAGCTACAACTAAATACATCAAGTATACATCGCCTGGTAAGGACTGCAAAGCATGCACACACGCAATCGCGTTTACATAATTATACATGTACACGCCACCACACACATACTATTCATACCCACTTCAATCACGACAAACAATGACTCCCTCCAACAACTTACATTCTTATATTTCGTTCCTTTGTGGCTATGTCTTCACATTGCTACAACAGAAGATAATTAAAGCAAATGCGATCAGGCGAGAGCAGGAGGCAAGGCCCCGCATGGCTAGGCCCCGCGTTGTAATGTTCCAATCTGGACATCAATTCCATACTCGCTGCTCCTCAATTAATATCCCTACGAGAGGAGCGAGGCTCTACCTGGGTAAACAACAACAACAACAACCACCACAACAACAACCACCACGATGTGAACTTCTCACCTCGGATCTCAGTGAGCGCGCGCAATGATCGGCAGCTTCCTGGTATCTCGTGACGTCACGCGGAAGCAGGAGATGACATGACGTCACTTGCGGGGTTCATCACACAATCCCCTCCCCCAACGAGCGGCGGTGTAACTGAATAAATTATGTTAATGAGCCGGTCACTTGTCGGGCGATTGGAATTGGCTGCTTAAGCAGTTAAGAATTGACTTTCCGTCGAAACCGAAGCCAAAACCGAAAGTGTAACTACACTTTCGGCCAAAACCGAAGCTGAAACCGAAAGTTTAACTACACTTTGGGCCGAAACCAAAGCGGAAACTGAAAGTTTAACTACACTTTCGACCGAGATTGAAACAGAAAGGTATATAACCGAAGTTACCGAACACAAGATTTATGATTTATGTCATGATGCAATGCTACTTTAATTAAAAAGAAATCTAGAACTAATCATTCAGAGCCTGCAGTAAGAGTCACTAAATATCAAATCTTTAGGTGTTACTTACTTAGTAATTATATCCAAACAAACGAATGTTGAGGTAAGAAACAACATCTTTCGGCATTCAGCCAGACAGGTCGTATATACATTAGCAGACCATGGTTGCGGCTGTAACCTCGTTCCCAAGCTGCTGCTGCTGACGTGTGTGTGTGTTTGCAGCCTATCGCATAGGATTGCCTAGCGCCGACTGACTGGCCGATAGGCTGGTGCTGGTCGGTGTGTGTGTGGGTCGAACCCACAGCGCTCTCGCCGGCGCTCTCCTCTTCCTCACAGGCGGCTGGTCATGCTCTTTCTTCTGCTGGATGAGCGGAGTCGGCACAACGTTTGTCCGCTGGCTGCTGACACCCTTGCTCGGTGGCACTCGGTGGCGCTGCTGCGTGCTCTCTCTCCTGCTCCGTGCTCTCTGGCGGCGCACGATTATGTGTGCAGCTGGTTCACTGCTATGCTCGCTTGGACAATGCTTGGTGCCTTCCGCCCTTTGTCGAGGGTGATTGCTTGACGTTGCTCGTCAGTTCAACTCGAGCTGCAGCTGCTCGTGGGAGCTGGGACTCACTCTCAAAACTTGTAAATTGTATTCGCACCCTCTTAAACAACTGTGAAAGCTTAGTACAATACAACTTATCGCAATCCTTGACTTTGCAAGCGACTCAAAACATCAGGATAAATGTAGAATAAAACTTTCCGCGATATTCTGTCGGTCCCTGCCGAACTCAGCTCTTAACAACACACCGTCCCTTCTCTCTGCGAGACACGACACCCATGGTTGATCGCGAGGCCATGCCCCGAAGTCTGCTCGCTGGTCGTAGCTCTTCTGTCCCTTGCAGTAGCATTTGCAGTAGCTGGCTGGAGACTTCTGTTGCTAGCTGGAGTATCGATGTTTTTACGTGAAAAATCTCTCCCCTTGGCTCGCCTTCTCGCAAATTGACTGGAACTTCCTTTGATTTCGCTCTCAGCCTGTGAGAACAGCTGTACGTATGTCCGTGTGTGTGTGTGTTCTGATTTATTAAGCAATCTGTTAAGTCTCACCCTGGCCTGGTTCCTGTCCCCCACCTCAAGCCATCTTTTCATCCGTGGAAAAATAGATGCCCCAAATTGCTACCTCGATTTATGATTTTGCAATAAACTCTCTGGAGGGAGGGTGTTCTCCCTGTGAGTGCCATTCCCCTGCTCCCCAGTCTTCCCTCGCGGGGGTGTTACATTTGTCTCTCTCTTTGTGATTGTATTGCTACCACATGCTGCTGGGAGACAAAGGCGGTTGGGAGGCTCTCTCTCTATGGAATACATTTTATCTTGGTCCTGTGTGGTGGGGCTATTTCGCTTCATTCCTTCTGGATGACCCTTGGTCTAATACTTCATAATTATTATTTAGTTTATGTTTTTTCAAGATTTGTGATTTATCATTGTTATTACCACGTATATTCCTAGGGTTTTATTAACCTTTGTTGTCTGTATCCAGGGACTGTGCTGTTTTACTCGAGTTATATTTTAATGTCCTGAGGTTAGATGTAACTAAGTTTTCACTTAAGTTTTCTTGACTGCTGGAATTCATATTCCTTGGTTTTTGGTAAGGTCACGTAGATAACAAGCTACAACAAGAGACAATATGTGAGGTGAAGGGGAGTAAAATAAGGTAATTAATAAATCAAGGCCACCAATGTGACTGCAGTCTGGTTTTTAATCTGGGTGAGTGTGTTGGCAGACTACGATATCGACTTAATCTTTGTCGCTAAGTTTTGAACTTTTAGCCATTGTATTAAGGGAAACGAAAAATGAAAAAATATATCGTGGAGCCTACTGTCTGTATTGCTTTGAGGGGGCCTTTTGAAGTTCTGTTGAGTTTTCCAGAATTTCATTAGCTAAACCCCCTCCCCCTTCTCTTTTGTTTTTGTTTTTTTAATTACCTATTTATGGCTTATCTCCGTTGCTTGGTCGGTGTGAAAGGCATCTGTTGTGAGGGAGTGGGTTGTCCCTCACCCTTTCATGTCCCATGCTCGCCCAGATCAATTATTTAAAAAATTGGAACAATTATTCTGAATATAAATTTTAGAAAAAAGGCCTATATATACAACAGAAGCCCGCACCTCGCTATGGGTCACACGACATCTCTGTGCTTGCGAAGAGATGGCACACGTTGCGTGGGATTGTGGTGGCGTCGAGAGGGCTGCCACAGCCCCCAACCAGACATGCGCCGCCGGAGGAGGAGAACGAGGGAGAGATGGTGGAGGCCCTGTGGCAGTACCCGAGGATCTCGCGGGAAGCAGAGCGCCGACCCCGGCGTTGGGCACCTCGCGAGACAGGAGATCATCCTCGGGTAACCAACGAAGTCATCTGCCATCACTGCGGTCGGGAGGGACACATTGCCCACGGATGCCGCAGCACGATGAGTGCACCGGGGACGACCAGCCGGGATCGTCAGCCTCAGTTCGCGGTTGTTCCGACTCAGGCGAATGCTGATACCTTGGACACCTGGCCGGAACCATCCACCACGGTTCACCCCATCACGCATCTCATTCTTCGGGGGCGGTGGCTAAGATTCCTGCTGAGGGTCCGGGCCCGTGGCCGGACACGGTTAATAAGTGGCATCGGTTGGCCAGAAGGGTGGTGGCGGCCACGGCTGGGACATCCGTGTTGGTAGGCTCGGTGGCAGGGGTTAGCGTCGGCCAGCATTATATCCCTGCGTGTCTTTGACTTGTTACTGGAGGGACAGTGTTGTCTCGCACCGTGCAGGCCAGGTACATAGCCGCAAATGGGGGAAGTATGGGGATAATGGGCCAAGTGGTAGTGCCGGTCCGCATTGGGGAGCTGGAGGTACGTGCTCCGGTACTGGTCTCCAGTGTGCTCACGGTTCCCTGCTTGCTGGGCACGGACCTGTTGAGTCACATCACCCTTCGCATTCTGACGGACAAAGGCTGCGTCGAAACCCTATCGGGGGGTCGCTTGTATTTCTTGCGTCCAGGCGGGGAACCGAAGCAGCGTCCGCGAGTTCAGGCGCTGGTCAGGACTATGGTTTCAATCCCGCCTGGTGCGCAGGCCTTGGTGCCGCTCCGATATTGCACCCCGCTCGTCACCTCCCAGTTGGATGCACCGCTCGTTGTCTCTGCAGTACCGTCGGTGGTGGGTCGCCATTGCCTAGCAGCAGCTGACACACTCGTGCGCAGGAATCAGCCACTGTTCATGCAGGTCCTCAACACGGCTGATACACCCATTACAACTCAGAAAGGGACCTTGTTTGCAAATGTCAGTCCCATGCATTCGAATTCTCAGGCGAACAATATGCAATTGGACAGCCCATCGGTCGGCGCAGAGGACATGTCATGGATAGACGCGCTCCTGGCACAGAACAGCGATCTGTCGGCAAGGAAATTGGAAGAGCTCTGGACTTTGTTGAGAGACTTTGCAGACGTGTTCAGTCAGGGTCCCTACGATGTTGGTCACACGATGCTGATAGAGCACCACATTGATACGGGCGATGTGCCACCCATTCGGCAAAATGCCTGCAGGATGGGTTCTAGCGAGAAGGAACATGTGCGGCGGCCAGTGCAGGAGATGATGGAGTCAGACATCATATCGCCATCTACGAGTCCGTGGGAGGCGCCGGTTGTATTGGTTAAGATATCGGATGGGTCTTTGAGTTTTTGCGTAGACTTCAAAGTTACCTTGGTGGACTCCTACCCGCTTCCGCGCATAGACGACTCATTGGATGCACTCGCAGGAGAAAAACATTTCTCCACACTGGACCTTTTGGCGGAATTCTGGCAGCTACCACTAGATGCCGAATCCAGACCGAAAACAGCTTTCAGAACAGCTCAAGGTCTCTTTCATTTCAACTGTTTGCCGATGGGTTTACAGACGGCTCCCACCACTTTCCAGCGATTGATGGAGCAGGTACTTGCGGGATTGCAGTGGGAGTCGTACCTCATCTATCTCGATGATGTGATCATGTTCACTCGCACATTCCAGGAGCACTTAACCCGGTTGCGACAGGTTTTTTGTAAAATTTGTGATGCCAAGCTCAAGTTAAAACCCTCCAAGTGCCATCTGGTCCGCTCCTCCGTTAAATACTTGGGTCATGTCGTTAATGCGTCGGGGGTCGCGACAGATCCCGACAAAACGGCGTGCGTCCGTCATTGCCCAACACCCACATCCGTGCCTGAAGTCCATAGATTTGTGGGGTTTGTATCCTATTACCGCCGTTTCATCGAAAAATTGACTACTATCGCTAAGCCCTTGCATGCGCTCACGGCGAAGGAACAGTCATTTCGTTGCAGCCAGGCAGAGACCAACGCGTTCTTGACACTGTGCCAGCGGTTGACAGAAGCGCTGCCCCGAGCACACCCCGATTTTTTGATTCCTGCTGGACATGGATGCGAGTGACGTGGGCATCGGGGCCGTTCTCTCCCAGATTCAGGAGGGGAGAGAGGTTGTCATTGTCTATGGAAGTCGCGTCTTGTCACAGGCCAAGCAGCGGTATCGCGTTACGCGCCACGAGCTGCTTGCCGTCGTCCACTTTGTTCAGCAGTTTCAGCCCTACCTGTACGGCCACGACTTCACTGTTCGGA